TCTTGCACTCTCTCTCCCTCTCTTTCACCCTCTTTCACTTCTATTATTTGCGTTTTTCATTTATCGTTTTATCTACTGCAACTACTGTTATGTCGGCTCATCGTATGAAAACAAACATTTCACTTAATTTTCGAAAGATTCTCATTTTCTGCAATAACAAAAAACGAATACATATATCTTTCTGTCGGTGAATTTCTACAAACGTGTCGTATACAGAGCATAATCGTTGTGTATAAATGAACTTTGTGCTGATGACAAACGAATATAATAAGAAAGTGGAAAGGAAAAATCAACGCTAGAATTTTGATACTGAAGAGAGAGAGAGAAAAGAGTGCACATAAAATATAAATGAACGGAAATGTGGAAAAATCCATTCGTTTAACAGACACTAATGCTACTTAGAATCCGAAATAAGCTCGACTCTAACTTGCACACTGAATTCGTAATAACGCCATTGTAAGCGCACTCATACCATACACGGCAAATGCTCAATAATATACACTCAATGTTATGCGATGTTATGAGGAAGAGGATACATGTACGATGCGATTCTCATATTGCTTCCACATTTCTGTTTTTGAAAAACGAGAACCAGAGAGTTCTAAATAAATATACGAGTTACCCTCAGCGAATGTATGTGATGACGATGATGATGTCTTTCCATTTCTGTATCGTATTGACTTTGACTGTGTATGTGTGTATAAATCTTTTCTAAAGGCGCTTAAATTAACTACATCATTTAGCAGACGATAAATTCATCTTTGGAATTTGTATTATTATTATTATTATATGAGTATGAATGTGTGCATGTCTTCTTTCATTCAACTCAATTTTGACATCGTTTAACTTGTAATTCTCACACATTATTTTCAGCATCCAAGAAGATAAAAACAATTATAGTTTATGAAATAAAAAAAAAACGTTTTACATTTAATTGAAATGCGCAACATTACAGAAGTTTTGTGATTGTATTATTATTTTACTATTCAACATTTAGCTGTAACTGATTCTATTTAAGAAACATTTGTATTGAACAATTTTTATTATGAAATAAATGTAATTTTGTAACGAACCTTTCAAAATGCCATCATTCAAATGAAATTCGAGATGGATTGAGTTATCATTTTCGTTTCAAAATCTTAGATAATATTTACGAGATTAGTTTTCATATTTGCGAATGCAATTTTAGCTTCAGCTTTTTGATCGAAAGTTACAAGAAATGTAAATCCTTTGAGAAAAATGACAGGAAAAAGATAAAGAAAAAACGAAATGGATACTATAGAGAGACTTTTGCTGAAAGGAAAATTGTGTGAAAATTTCCAATTATTTATTCACTTCATGTCTTCGAGTAATCGAATAACCAATAAAAAAATAATAATATTCTCACTTGAAATCTAATCCGATTCGATGCGAGATCGAATTTGAAAAAGAAAAGAGTACAAAATCAAGGATTGAGGCGAAATGGAGGCGAAATGGGAGCAAAAACTGAAAGTGTGTGCGAATGGCAATAATAAGCATCGTAAAAGTCCAAATATGGGGATATAATCGAAAATGAGATGCAATTTAAATCATCTTATTATTCATGGCGTATATCGAGCAACGTATCACCAATACCTTTTTTTTCTTCATTCGGATGTATAGTGAGACTAGTATATCCTCTCTTCAACGGATTTTGAATAATATTCATATCAAACCGTATTGATTTGGTTGGCTGAGAGAAGATTTTGCCGAGATAATGCGATCTATAAAAGAAAGAGAGAAAAGCAGAGAATGCTACAATCGAAGCCATATTTCTATATTTTAAATAAGCAAAACATTTGCTTTATATTTACAACAGTTGGGAAAAGCCCCTTAGCTGTGAAAATGTGAAAAATAAAATGATGATAGCCGTCTGCAACATTGTATAAAAAGTGTATTATTCTCCCTTTTAATATGGATTTATTATGTAATATTGTATACAAATCACGAGAAATAAATATGCAAAAATGAAATCGAATAAATTGCATGCCGTCATGCATGGACACACAAACACTCACACTTACAAAATATTTATTAGTTAATGAATGGCCATAAAGTATGCAACAATAATCCATAAAATCGAACGAAACGAAGCAAATACAATCAAATGCGCCAAACATCGTGAGACGTCGATTGCAAAATAATAGATAATAATTAAACTGATTGACGGCTTTCGTGCTTTAATACTTCTGGACGTTGAAACGAATGAACGTTCATACAAGTGCTATGCATTTTGATAGCAATTCAAATGCTTTTGTTTTTCTTACAACAAGCGCATGAGCTGGTTGACAGGAAATCGTTTAGTCTCGTGTAATGCCAATGATAAAATGCACCTTTGAAAATGCATTAAATTTGAACTTCACCCACACCTTCACCGCGCTCGACCGCAGTTAATAAAATGAATCGTCGCAATACCTTATTATTTAAATAACACGATTAATTGATTTATAAGTTTGTTTTAATTAACTTTGAAAAATACACCTGAAAAATCTACTTATTATGGATTCAATGATTGTTGGAAGAAGAAAAAAACGAATAATTAGTTAGCCGAGAAGATGAGTGGCATAACTTATTGCATCTTCAAAACACGTGCATTATACGTGAATCGTATTGTTACAATGTGGTTGAAAGGAAGATCAAACATAAAACTCGTTTTCATTTAACCTCACTGACACGCAATTCAAACACATTCTTATTAAAAGAGAAAATATTTTCAAAACCACACAAATGAATTAGTTGAATGCAACGCAAATCGCTTTTTTATACATAACAACAACTGTGTCATCCATGAAAGACGCTATAACATTGCATACATTCAGGCTGAATTCACTACCAATCGCTACTAAACCATTTAAATTCAAACAAGTGGAATACAACGTTATAAGCGGTCTAACATATAACATGTCACATCACACGTTACTAATCAAAACACGAATGTTGCCCATTTTAAAAATGCGTTGTTTTGAATCCATGTTTTTTTTTCGTATCATTGCACTTTTTTTTACCGCGTGCACCATTCAATTTAGTTGGCCTTGTTCCGAAATTCGGGATCTTAAAATAAACTCGTATTATATCCAATGTGACGATCGAATTCTCACGAAAAGGTGCCGATGTATATTGACGCGATTTAGAAAGATATTTATGACGTATATGTCTACATACAACCAAATTATATTGGCAATGAACAAAAGAGATGCCATACTTACATCTCCACAATGATGAAATGCTACACTTTCAAGGCACGATCAATTGAAACTGAAGAAAATGTTGAGCGAACATTCAAAATATGCCGGTGTAGATATACGACGCCAAATTTCACCAATTGCCAAAGAAACGGTTAGAAAAGCAAACAATTCAATGGGTTCATAACTGCTAATAGCGTTTATTGTTACTCTATAATTTAAAAGCAATCGATTGACACATATACAGACGAAACAAAGTAGTTTTTTTTTTCATATGTCACGATATGTGAATATCGATCGCGACCGTTGGAATAAGGACGAGTTATTGTAATAAAATATGCAACAGTTTGTGAAACAATTATGGTTTATCAACAATAATATCATGTAGCGTTTATTTTTATAGACAAAACTAATCTATGAAATGGAAGACTCCAATTTAAAAACACGCAATTATATCGTTTCATTGCTCGGAGAGTGGATACGTAGAGGGTGTATTGAGGATATATTCCATCCAGGAAAACATTTCAGTTGCACAAATTGACGGTGCATTAACTCAAATTGATATAAAAATGTACGACCGATTTATGGGAAGTTTTTATTCAATGTAAAATGTCAAGTCAAATGTTTATCAAAATACTGAGGTCGACCTCAATTTTATTCGCCAAATGCTAAACAAACGCATGATATTCTATTCAAATGTGTAGCCAACACTTCAATGTTGAGAATCTATTTAAGAGAATGGTTGTGTTTGTGAATAATTTGCTTAAAAAATGTGACAGTTCAAATCGAAGTGAGAAACAGAGATGTTGTGATACACAGATTTATTAATCATTCTTTGAACCGTAAGCGAACGAATGAAGAGATCGAGAAAGGAGCTGGCAACAATATGTGTTTCTTTTTTATTCATCAGTGTGGCTATACTAGACTATATTTATGCGTTTTGTATGTGGTTTGCCTTATGCTTATTTGTTATGATTATGCTGAACGAATTATTATTTTATTGATAAAAACCACTGTCATTCGAATGTCCACACTGCACACTGACAATGACGAATGAAATGTGAAAGAGAGGGAACAACATATGGTCGTATCGCACATTTATAGTTTTCTGATGATTTCAAACCAATATAAATCTGTGTGCGTTTGTATATATCGTTTGTATCTCTTTTTTTTTCTCTCTTTTGGCGTCAAATTATAAAATATATAGCATTTTTTTTGCGGGCTCATGCTTAGAAATGATCTGTTTTGTTTATAATAGACATTTGTGTAAAACTGTTTTATTGTATTTGTTTCAATCGTAAAAAGTAGTTGTGTGTTGTTCATCTGTTATTGTTTTGTTTGAAAACGCGATTGTGGTCTTCGATTTTTATACGTAATTGCTTTGGATACCTGTCTGGTTGCTTTGTAATAGTGGTGAACGACAATGTCTCGATCATATGCTTTTGCTTTACGCTCTTCTATCAATTTTTCAAAGTCGCCAATTAAATTAAATCTCTATATAATATACAAATTGATCAATAAAACAACAACAATAGTCAACCACAAACGCTGAAATGTGTAAACGCGCTTGAATACTTTAGCACATGCAACACATACACTGCCGCACAAGCTACAACCACTGTCACATCAATTTAAAACAAAACACAAAGACTATGAACGACTGTATGATATACGCAGTGACGATGTTTTGGAAAAAAGGCAACAGCAGCAGCAGCAATAGCCGCCACCACAGTAGTAGCAACAAATCGGTGATTTTTGTATTGAATTTTTTCTAGTCAACAGGCGAATACGAGAAAGGAACCGAATAGAGAAAAAAAAAAATACCAACTACAACGGCCGAACACTGACTTCAGCAAAAAAGCAACTACACACTGTTTCAATTCGTCTCACAGTTTAGTTATAAACTTCGTTTAAATAAAAACGGTCGACAGACGAACGCCGTGTGCTTATTGTAATATCGTACGCGCACAAAATACTTTTAAATTGAATTCATTCTATCTTTTTTTTTTCTGTGTTGTTCCTGTCAGCGCATTTTCTTATCGAATTCGATACTATTTTGAACGCAGAATTAAAAAAAAAGTCCACGTATTCAATTGAATCAACATTAATAGTAATGACATCGATACAAATTTAAAATCCCCAACATTTAGTAAAACCCAAAATAAATAAAATTTGACGATTTAAAAAGTTGGCTGACAGCATGAAAACTGGAGTCCCACGGACGATTCGATGATATTCATTTTTCCATCGCTTAAACGAGAGAAATTCTGCGTGACTATTTTTTTTTTCTGTTGATTGACGTGTTTTCAATCTGAATTTTTTTAAAAGCAATTCGATGAACGTTACAAAATTAGTTAAATTTGGCTATAACTGCATCATATACTTTAAAATAATTTGTTGACGTGCTTTTTTACAATGAAAAAAGTGAGATTTTTTGATATCGAATTAAATTAAAGTTCTTTGTTCTGTTCGTCGTAATTTATTTGCTTGAACTTATCGATTTTCGAATATAAAAAGAAGCAGTAAATCGAAAAGTGTTAAATATTCATTTGGTTAGAACGATTCGTGTTGCTTTGACGACTCACACGGTAAGTTATTTTTTTTTTCGATTTTTATTTAATTCACTGGCAATTTTATCACAATTTATAAAATGTATTGTATATACTAAGTGTGAATGTGTTTTCGCAAGATCATTTTGCACTTCAAATTCATTAAATATTCGATAGAGTGTGAATTTAATTAGAAAATTCGAAAATAATGGCGATTTTTTTTAATTGACGTGAAAAAATCTCATTGTGTGCCCTGTGTGTGTTTACATTCGTGCACCGAGTGCGTTTTTTTATGCGTATCAAACATTCATTATCAAAACCAAGTTTTGTAGTTGATCGCATTTTAATCGAATTACTTCCGCCACACCACATTCATTAGTGTTTTTCTATGTTTTAACTAGTTATCGGCGTGACATTTTGACGTATATATGCTTGTTTTCACATAAGATATGCTCAGCTTTGCCGTGTGCAGTAGGATGATTTGAATTCACGTACACAAAACTGGCTCGCAGTCAATGCCGATTTGCTTTGATTGCATTATGTAAAAGCAAAACAGAAGAAAAAAAAACATTATAAAAAAACAACGAAAATGAATCACGGCGTATGAAATTGAATGGTTCAAAATGCATTACAGTAAATGGTCTACTGCGCAGACAATTTATGCGACTATGTTTTTATTGCTTCAAACTTCCTAACTACGCTCAGATCGAAGAAATGAAATGAATGATTGCCATTTTTGAAAAACTACACATTTGATTTGTTTACCAATGCATAAACAATGTTTGTAGAATTTGACACATTGTGTGCAATTACCTGTAATTATTTTATATTAACAAGCATTATTGTTTACAGTGATGAAATTGTATGAGGTAACCTTCGATCCGATTGATCGGCTGACTTTTACATTCACCCATTATTGATCATATTGCCGGGTTGATAAAAAAATAGCATAGAATATTACTTTAATGACGTTTTATGACAAAAACCTAATCATTGGTTCTAGTATTTTTTTTTGTACCGGTAGGACATCGCGTAGAAAATCGAATATGGCAAAAAACTCCAGGATGTATTCAAACAATTGTTTGAACGATTTTTGAAATACGTGACTATTTGATTTGCAATACCTGTTTGCAAAAGCAAAAACATTCAGCAAGAACTGAGACAAATTGGAGAAAACTTCGTTAGTTAGAGCTCATTTAGTAGAATCGAATAAATCGAATTAATTGCATAATTGGGTGCTGTAAGAATGTCTAATGGTAATTAGGTATCATTTAAATGAACTAAAAACCGTTATCACCCCTAGATTAAGTATTCGCTTCCATAACAAGTTGAAAAATCATCTTTTTTATCAATTTCGATGTATAAAAAGCATACTTTTTTATATAAATTACCAGTTACAAGTACATTGTTACAAGTAACAAGTTCAGAATTGATTGTTGAATTTTCATGAAGTTGATGAAGAAAATGTTAATTGATGGATAATCACGTTAATTATCATAAATATATTGAAAAGCAACTAGTAAAATCATGCACACAATATGGAGATCGTAGCGTATATTTTATGAGTGAATAGATAAAAAATTACCTGTGTTAGTTGGCTGTTAATTTAATGTTTTTGTTGTTATTACTATTGCGATTAAGGTGATTGAAGTGCGCCGATCAAACATTTCAGATCATTCTATAGAGATCATTGTGTTTTGCAAAAAAAAAATTATCAAATTACCCATTAATTCGTGAAAGCCTTTTCATATATTTTCCTATTGAGAACAGGTAAACTCTTTGATTGTCACGGCACGTGTAACAACTTGTTTTAATCGTCATGAGGGAGAGCAATAGAAGTCAGAGTAACACTTTACCTCTATGATCCCGAATGCTTACACTCAATCAACTTTTACGATTTGAGAAGAAAAACGTAATTTATGTCAAGTGCTAATAATTTAAGTACGAAGTGAAAGAGAACAATATCAGCGATCTTTGTGTGCAGAAAACAGGAAACTTTGCTATTAAATGCAATGAAATATTGATCAAGTTAATAGGCTTGGCAGCAGTTCATCAGAAACAAATTTTCAACAAACTATGAAATTCATTCCGTTTAATTATCATCGTCAATAATTTATTGAAAGTTATAAACGACAGGCCAACTGAACATTACAGTATTTAACATTAGTATGAGGCACGTGCAACCAACATATTAAAAAAACCACCAATAAAAATAATATAACCGGGGAAAAAAAGACATTAAACAATTTACGGGATAATTGACCATATATTAGTTGAAGCAAATTCCCGGGAATGATGTGGAATTTCTCACGTAAACAATATCGATTTTGAACTATCAAAATATCAGTGCACTTCAATCAATATTATTATTACAGTTTTAAGTGAACGGCAACCATAGAGTGTGTGCCAACCCAAACAAAGCTAGTATTTATGATATATTTCTCTTTTTGTACCCTATTGTATTGTCTCTCAACTTGTTGAAAATAGAGTAAAAGCGAAAATATTTGCATTATCATAATGATGTATTGTGTTGGAAAATGCATTTGTTGTTGTTAAATGACGAAAATTTATACATCGAATTGTGCAGATTAAATTCGGTTTGTGTATCGATCAAAGTGCATATTCGGCGTTGTGTGTATACAAAGTATTCACAACAAAATTGATATTTTCCATTGTTGCCCATTACAAATCTCTATTGACACATGTTTTAAAAATTATCTGTATAGATTTCATAATTGCGTGCATTTGTCTTCCACCACAAAATATATGTATGTATGTTTCCATTGGTTTTCATTTTTTTTTCCTTTGTTGGTTCACACAATGCGCCAAGCCGCAATCCGTTAACTGCCACAATACAATTTGTTGAGCCGTTGAAAATGCATTATGCCATTAAGAGTGGCGTGTACTTTGTTTTCGATTTCACATTTGTTCGGATTTTTCCAACATAGTGCGATGCCACCCACACTCATTCACACGCATACACTTTCAATAAATTTTTTTATACATTTTGTTGCTGCATATCCATGTTTTTTTCCGCTTCAATTTTTCACATGAATTCACTTGCACTTGAAATATTTAATTATGCAATAAAATGATTTCCAAAGAGCTAATGGGTTTGGTGTTTGTAACTGTTGTATGTTTTTGAGTAAAACTGGTGAGAGAAAGCAAAAATGAAGAGAATAAAAAAGAAGAGAGTGTACGATGGCCTGTGATTTGTTTTTCATCACACGAGTTGTACATCATTCATTTATTATAGAATCACGTCGAACACATTTTACATACAGTTGTTTTTTTACAATTTTACAATACCCACCCAAAGTGCGGAAAAAGGGAGCAAAAATATATTTGACGTGTATACAATTACAATAAAAATAAATGAATTTAATTTTAAAATAACGCCCTTCTTCAGCTGCCAATTTATTTGAATTTATTGCTTTTGTTTTAAATTTTCATTGCACAACTGTGTGTGCGTTTGGGGTGGGTGGGGAGAAAACTGAATAATTTCACGATGATGCGGTTCACGATGATGAGAGAGAGAGATATAACTTTCGACATGAAAACCACATTTTAATTTTTAATATTGGATGGAAGCCGATGAAAAAAAAATAAAATTAAATAAAATATACATTGATTGCTACTTGTATAACAACGCGAAAATATGGATTTCCATTGATGATTCTTGACCCAGTTATTTCTGTTCTCGAGTTTTTCATGCATTTACATTTCTGATTGGAATATTTGTATAAATGAACTTGCAAGCGCACGTAGCTCGCTCACTCTCATCGCGTCATATACACAGACATGTATTCAAGCTCATTATGTGCAATTCAACTCGTTTGGTGAATGCAATTCGATTTTTTCGGTTCCGTTCAACTCGATGTGTTGTTTTTGTTGTTATTATTAAGTGCATACGTGCGTTTGCATTATTCAGTTTTCAACAGCCATCGACCAATGTCTGCGTTGCAATACTTTTACACATTTTATTCTCTCTATCTTTCTCCAGCACATTTATTCCATATAATGTCACAAAACTGTCGAAACATTCAGTGCGTTTCGTTGTGCCGAAGATCATGATAGACGCCAGAGCATTTAATAAGAGAAAGAAAGAAAAAACGCACAGCTCACATGCACATATATACTCAGCATAGCCTATGATTAGATCGAAGATTTCATAAATCGTAATTTTTTACACATTTTTATTAGCGAAATGAGTTTTCGCATCGAACGATCTTTCAGAATGGAATTGACATATACAGTCACTGCCAATACACTTTTTTTCTCTTCTCGGCTACGTGCATTAGCACCAGTTAGTAGTTTTTTTTCAAAAAGCCGCTCAGCAACAAGTTTGCATCATTCATCAGCTGTTAAATTGTTGATCAGAGCGTTCTCACGATTTATTATGTACCAATAAATATACGCTTCAGAATGGATATATCTTAACTATTCATCGGGTATGCATACTTTTTGCACCGAATCGGAAATAGTTTTATGAAATATGCACGTTTCACGCGTATATAAATGTGTGCGTACAAATATAATACGGAAAATATAATCGTCTCGTTAACCTACCAAACTCGGTCAACCGATGTGATTTTCGTCGCCAGTTTGGATGCAATGTGATTCAACCATTCAAGTAAATAAGATAAAAAAAACGAACCACTTCAATTGTTGTCGCAATCAATCGAAACGAGCTGTGGCCTTTTAAATAAATTAAAATTGAGATTGCCAATTTGAGACGTTAGCTTTGATTGAATTAACCGCAGAAAAATTCAATGGATCGTTTTGGATTTTATGTTCATCATCATCGTCGGCACTTGAGAAATCCACAAGAATATTACAGTGAACGCTCACGTCTGTACATCTCCGATGTGAATCACCACAGAAGCCATTTAGCTATTGCGCATTACACACAGATTTTTTTTTTTATTTATCGTTGAATGAAAAAAAAACTCGCCCAACCGCGCCGCACATATGCGAGCCGCATCTATTAGTCAAATAGTCGTTTGTGTTCTACGTTATTATGCCAGGCAAACCATTTACGAAATCAAATGACATACATATAGTTGTTTGTAAGTGCAAGTGCATTCTTACACATGATATTGCGATAGCTCGAACTATGTCAATTTGATGTCATCGGAACCAGTACTTTGGGTTAACCGACAACGTGTATTTTTTTTTCACTCGGCAGCGAATTTAGATGATTTTTTTTTAGACAAGTCAAAGTGAACAACAAAAAACTGACACATTAATTATTATGGTAACATGGTAAAAATCGAAAATTGATTTTCCTTAATAAACAAAAAATAATGCGTTGAACTTAACAAAATATTTATTATCGAAGTTGTAAAATCTCGGCAACGAAAACTAGTTGGGCTAGCAACACACACACACACATCATGTATCATTAACACCTAACACGTACTTTGTGTTTGTCTGTTGCAATCCGTATAAATAATTATGATCAAATGTGAATTTTTATAGTTCTCCACCCCTCTCTCTTTGTGTGAATGTCTCACATCAATTTAAAAGTTCAAATACAAGTGACAAGTATACGCACATACGGATACGTTATGAAATCTCCGGACCGCATTTTTTTGTTCTCTTCAAATCGAACAATAAATTTTTAATTTAGTGAATGTCGCAATTATTATTGCTATTACAATATTCATGTGACTATAATTCCTGTCGCCGGCAAGATGCAATTGTTCAGCGCTTTTATCTATAGCAATAATCGTGTATTTATTTTTTTTGCTTTTTGCCTTCGTTCAATCTAGAATAGTAACATCAATTCAAATTAAGATGAACTATTTGCATAACATTTTTTTTTTCATATTTGAGATTTTATCGCTATAAAGTAGATAATGCAATCGCAAATGCTACGATTCAATATTAAACAAGTAAACAAACTAACAAACAAAATGCAATTTTATTTGAAATAGAGACAATAGCAAAATTATAAGCATCACAAGTTTTCATGGCTTGTCAGTTCATTAATTTGTTGAATGATTTAATGCAAATAAGATAAGTATGAAAATGTTTTGCTCAAATGTCGTCATCACCTCTGGCGATCAAACGTCAACAAACAAAATTCATGAATCTTATTCTTTCGTTTGGAATTTTTATAATTTTCGGCCTTAAAGCAACGCACGCCAATTACTATTCTAGCACCAAATAATTTTTATCGATAACTTACTTAAAGTTAAGCTACTCTATGACGACAATAGCATTGACTTTGATCCGTAAATTCATCTCATTTGAATGAGACTGGAAATTTTATCAAAGCGATAAAAAAAAAACCACACACACATTTTAATTTATTCAACATTCATGTGTTTCGTGAATGTCATTCAATACCCAATACATTGTTTTTATTCATTTTCAACAAAAAGAGGGAAAAACTTTCATTACTTATCAGCAGCTTGAATTATGAAAGAATTTATTGCTAAATAGAAGAAAAAGAGAGAGATGATTTGATTTTGCGTCAAAAAATGTCATTCTCCGACAAACCCGATGTAAATCGAATGACGATTACTTATCGCATTGAAAATGAAAACAGTACAAATTCATTTGTGTCAGACATTATATTGAGATATTTGCAACCGGCTGAACTAGCGCAGGCAGCTAACGTCGGGCACTGAAATGGAACGACAATAATAACAGTGATTTCACTCCATTTCTCGTCTGACATTTGCTGCCTGAACCAATTCGGCTGGTTGAAAATGTGTGATTTTTGCATGTGATTGCTGTCACAATCACAATAAACTGGGATACCTAATTCCAGTGAATGCGAAAAAAAATCAATTACACAAATAAAATCCATCGCGATTTAATCACATTCAATTAAAAGTTTGACATGATTAAATAGTATGCATTTGTTGCGTTCCAATTTATTTATGACGATTGTATGGGCTCATAGGTCAGGTTTTTGCTAGCTATTTATGATTAATTTTTCTGTCTGCAGGTTACCTACATGTTACTTTAAACATAAACAAGTACTTGGAATCTTATCAAGCGCATCGCTCTAGAAACATTCCAATTCGTATCGGTTTCTTTTTTTGTTAAATCATTTTGCTTTTAATTACATAACACAAAAATGGTTCCGGGATCAGCCCATTTGATATTAGAGACTGCAAAGAGAATCAAACATGCAAAAGATATAAAATGATATTACCACAGAAATCACGTGTCACAGATGTTTCATACATAGAGGAATGCGCCACTCCGATCATTAAATAAATTGTAAAAAAATAATAAAAACATTTATTACCGTGTATGATTAATTAATTAGGAAAGTTCATGCATAAAAACTGGAAATGATGAATTAAAATCGGTATGAATAATTATAAATTATGACCCGTAACCACCGTAAAATGTTTTTCATTTGACCAATCATTCCGAAATTCTTGAACTTTTCTCAAACATTTTAAATATTCAATTGGTGCTTTTCCGATTTTGTATTTAACATTTGCTGACATGATTTTTCATTTTTTTTTTCTACATTTTGATGATACATTTCCAAATAATTAGTTTAAAATAATTTTGTGGGATGAAGTTTTTTGAATGCGATTTTTCTATTTCATATGATTTCGACCGATATATTCAAAATGATTGAAAATGGTAGATTTCATGTGGGTACTATTATTACGTAAGAATTATGACGTACTTTAGAATAATACGAATATAATGAACATACATCTAATGCGCTCTATTGTGACGTCTCAAATCTGGAACAGCATTGCAATGTACAATGTTGAGGTGCAAGTGCAAGCGAAAACTGTTTACATATAAAGTAATGTGGTTCACAAGACAACCATCAGATGGCTCACATGGATCTGTCAAAACAGCGTATCAAGACTATAATAATGAATTGTTCATATTTTTGTTTATTATGAATAAACCGCTTAACATTTAAAATTGGCAGTTTAACCTTTTCATCAAATCGAATGAAAATAAAAACGATTCAAATTGATTGTTTTAAAGTGACTATGCTCATTGCTTGGATTTATTAATAAATATGTGCGGATGCTGATTGAATGGTGATGTTGATCATTTCCTATTTTATGGCGCCTCACAATTGTATTTTGTTAATAAATTACGCAGTTTTGAAGGATCATTTTTTCGCTATTGTATTACATAATTCGTTTTCTTCTTTATTTTCATATATTTCAGAAGGTGCTATACACGGTATTCATCGTTGGAGTGATTGAACTTTGAGTAACGACCAAAACAAGCGATTACTCATCTCACAATGGACTTGAAATTGCAGCCACAAAACATAAAGTTCCAAAATGTCTCGTACACTGTTACAAGAGTAAAAGGTAAGTAAAAACCAAATCGATGCTGAAACATATTACCGGCATGTTGGCCATTAACAAATATCAATTGCGTAAATGATTCTTTAGTATACGTGAAAAAAACGCTCATCGATGATTCAACATGGCATGTTCAGTTGAACGAAAGTAAGATCTGTGTGGCAGATTCATGAACTTGAACTTAACAGAAACGGAAAGAAAATAAAAGTCTATGGTATTTTGGACTGACACGTGTTTAAACAATACAATTGCGCATTGGTCGCTTAATATTGCTGCTTCTTTTGAAGCATGATTTGCAAAAATAAATTACTTTGCAAACTCATTGTTACGATGTAAAATTAACATATATATATATGTATTGCAACAAGTTTTTGACCTTTCGATGAATTTCAAGATTTTTATGCTGAAAATAAAAATGTTCCGTCTTTTAAGTGGCGAAAGAGCAAACAGCGAATCTTGAAAGAAAAGATAAAATGTGGTAAAATGTAATAATTGTCAGAGTGCGGATATAAAGAGAAAAATGCCGATTGAAATATAAATTTAAAAATTAAGTTTTTTTTATTCATTTCCTTTATCACTTTAACCGGGCGAAAAAAAACTGTTGCATTTTAATTTATTCGAATGGCCTCGATAAATATCGTATCGAATGTCATACAAATTCTATGCTATTCGTTTCATTTTTATAAACATAAAAACATCAATTTCAAGAGCAAATTTTCGTATGGTTATGTATCGATCTCCTTCTGACGGTTAAATGCTATTCGCATCGAAATGAGCCTTGTGTTATTCAAAAATGTAAACATGAAAAAAATCAAATTTGCAGTAGAATTTTTTATCTCTTTATTTTGATTAGCATGTGACCGTCAATCGCATGCCTGTCCACATGCACATATGGCACAAGGAAAAGAGGTGCAGATAAACTGCTCACGTTGACATCACCAATAGACATTTTATTTAACAAAACCATAAAAAAGAAAAAAATCAAAACAAAAACTGACTGAAGCCGGTTATAACCTTGATGTTCATCTTCTAGGTATATGATCACCGATCAGATAAGGGATTTAAGTGCTGGTTTTACGATTAAAATGAATGATGATGACAGTTTGCATATTTTATCATTAGAATGCGTTTTATCTGTCAAACAACTGATTTAATAACTCATAATATAATATGCAACTTTGTAAATACGATTTTAAATGCGAAACTTTCGCTTTTTTTCACTTGTTACGAAAGAGAAAGTATGCACGATTTGAGGTGCATGAAAGCGAAATCATGTGTTTCACGGTCAAGGTTGATAAAATTCGGTCCACGAAAAGTCGCCATTGTCAAAGAAAATATGAAATCAAATCAAGAGTTTCAATTTGATAATCGAAAACTGTCGACTTTGATTTGGCATATTTGTTTGGTTCTTTCCGTTGTTTACGAACTACTCAATGACCATTTTCATTCTTGGAAACTTGTTTTATGTTTTATTTACATTTAAATTCTTCGATATATTGTTTGCCACTTTTATGTGGCCACAAGTTACATTTCAAGATCAAGGTACAACATACATTTGCATTCTTGGTTTCCACGTGGTCATTAATTATTATTTGGCCGTATGCCGATCGTAAATTTGAATTTGTTTAAAAAGAAATACATGTATCGGCATAGTGATAGTTAGTTATATTAGATTGGCAGGAAAACAACAAATCTGAAAATTATGCAAATATATTGTTGAGCATCTTCTAACCAAATCATTATAAAAATGAGTCACAATGTGTAATTAATGCTAGACTTACTTCATGACCTCAATCATAAAAAATGCTATGATTATAACCAGTTTTATTGTCGCGGCTCAAAATTGCGTTCGGTGAAACGTAGATAAAAATGGTTTATTTTTGTGAGTACAGGGTTAGTGTTAGACCAATGTTACCAAATGCTGATTAGATCTGGTGAAGCAAAGTCATTGCTTAAAACTCGTTGACAAGCCAACGAGAATGAAGCAATGTGATGAAAATCATAAACCTTTCATCTAGACAGTAAAATGTCTAATTGACCACAAAAAAAACACTCAATTCACCGGCTACTATGATTTGATCCACACACGACACACACACAGAGATATGTTTGCGACTATAATATACTTGGAAGTCACAATAATTGAGAGTGACACAAACTGTCACATCCAAAGTGGGCACATGGTCGGTAATTTTATTATGACATAGATACCGTTAAACGTGTTTAAATGATTTTTATGTATCTAACCATATATATGGTGAACTCGGAATTAATTAAAACTCGGATTTTGTGCGAATTCATTTCCATTGAATTTGTTCATATGTATACGCAATGTAATAACAGCGCAACGAAAACGACGACGAGAATGCTACGGTGAAGGTCACATTTGATGATGGTTGCAATGCAGACGTTGATAGTTATGGTGTTTTGCGCTGCGAAGAAAAAAAAACAGAAACATTAAATCAAGTTCAAACATATACCATAAAACAATATTTTTCGCTGTTAGTTTGTCTGTTGATAATTACGGTTGCGTAAGTTTCTATGCTAGGATAATCATATTTGTTTGTGTGTCATTCAAAATCATGCCAACAGTCGATTGTAATCATAATTTTGATTCTACTATTTGATACAGTGACTTTCGGCAAATTTACTTTTAAATACATTGGAAAATTACCCAAACTTAGTGGCGTCACCCAAAATGACAAAATAACCCGTTTTGTTAAATTTAAACATCATGACTTGATGCCATCTGCGTATTTTTGTGACATTGTTTTTATTTAATTGTTTACATTGCAAATCATTTGTTGGGAATAATCGAGTTCAACAATGGGGCAAAGTTTATTAACATCGTCACTTTTATTTTCCATCAAAAAGATGTATAATAATATTATAATAATGTTCAGTTTATGGTCATGCAATGCGCTGCCAATGATCGGTAATAATAGAATTCTGTTGAATATATTTACTTTTTGCATTTGCATATGTGGAAAAGAAATATTGACAACCAACTAAATAAACAAATAAACAAAGGCATATGTTTAACGATTGATGGTTGATAGGCTGGTTTTTCTGTATTTTGTTTACTTATCATGTCTGGGTACACGCGCTATATGCAATTGACCATTTAAACTCATAAACGAAAGAATGTTGCAAAGTAAATGCAAAGAAATTGCATCTTTTATCACATACTAGACCATAGTGTTGCAGAATAAGAATAGTCATGATTGTTTGTGTATAATTATTTTGTTTTTGTTTTACAGCCAAGAAAACCATTTTGAAAGGTGTTTCTGGTGAATTTAAATCGGGAGAGCTCACAGCAATTATGGGGCCTTCAGGAGCTGGAAAATCTACACTTCTCAATATTTTGACCGGTTTTATGTAAGTACACCACGTGTACCATATTTCAAATCGAATCATAATAAAAAAAACGTGATTTTTTTTTTACAGACAAAATGGTGTCGGTGGATCAATTCATATGAACGATGTTAAATTGGGCAGTCAAAAGTATGCGAAAAAATGTAGCTACATTTTACAAGATGATAATTTATATCCCAATTTTACGGTTCACGAGACAATGATATTAGCGGCCAATTTAAAAATTGCCGATATGTCGGTCGATGAAAAGAATTTGATTGTAAGTATTTTTAATGAAAATGTGCAAAACATTAAAATCGCTCAAAAATTGCTGTATCACTTCCGATAAAATATATTCACCGAACAATGTTCGCTCTTTATATTCGATCGTAAAGTAGCAAACGTTTAAGAAAAGAACAATATTCACCTTCAGAATGATTGCGAGGGAAACAAAAATTGTGTACATTCATTGCTAATGTCAATCGGCAATGATGCATGAATCAATATTATTTAATATTTTTGTGTGTGTTTTTCTCTATGTTTCGCAGCAAATTACTTGCATTTTATTTGGCCAGAAGCAATAGGCAAGCGTTGAATATTCTGCGACTAATGTTGTTATTGACTGTTGATTTATCTTCGATAATGTAATTAATATCAACAGGTAAAACACCTAAATCAATTCGATCAGTTTTGTGTAATTTGTGGGCAGCTCGATTGCAAAACGAAATGTGAAATTATCGACACTCCATATGAACTAATTGTGTGACTCAGCATGGGATACAAATTGCACGTTTTATACGTTGCCTTTTATGGTTGATTGAATAAATAACACAAATATTCATCATAAATATCTATTCGTTGTCAGATTATTGAGTCGTACTAAGTGTTTAGTTTCTTTACGAAAAAAAAATGCCACTACAAATGTTGATGCCATTTTTGATTTCAATCCGTCTTTTTTCATCGATCATTTTAAAAATATTTTAAGAGCGACGTTGTACTGTGAAGCATTCAAGTTTTGTGATATTCAGTACTTCAGTCTAAGCAATGTGCACTTGAGACCCAAAGCATTACAATGACTCTTTTCTTTTCGTTTATCTTAACGTTTTCTTGTTGTTCTTCATTTCCTTCTGTTCGCTTACAGATAGATAATGTATTGAATACACTACAGTTGATTCGATCAAAGTACACAAAATGTGGCAGTTTAAGTGGTGGTCAACGGAAGAGGCTTAGCATTGCTTTAGAATTGCTGGATAATCGACAAGTACTTTTCTTAGATGAACCCACCAGGTAAATTGACTGTGTGAATGAAGCGAGAGAGTGAAAAATAAAAGAGATAAATTTCACTTATAAAATATTGTTTTTCAGTGGTTTGGATAGTTCATCATCAGCGTACTGCGTTCAATTGCTACACAATTTATCACGAGAAGGTCGTACGATAATTTGTACAATTCACCAGGTATGGCCCAACTTGAATCAGCTACCACATAATGTGCTGAATAAATTAAAATACAGATTAATAATATAATTAACTTGTACAATTCACCAGCCATCGGCTGCCATTTATGAGATGTTCGATCAAGTGTACGTTTTGGCTCAAGGTCAATGCGTGTATCGTGGTGCGGCCCAAAACACGTTAGCCTATCTCTCTGAAAATGGTTTACAATGTCCAATGTACCACAGTTTAGCTGATTTCTGTAAGAATCACATCACATTCAATTTTGCATCACATTTATTTCCAAATACGAATTTAATACGGTTTTAATTTTCAGTGATTGAAGTGGCCAATGGTGATTATGGTGAATTTGTGCCGCAATTAGCGATATCAGCGAACCGATCGATGTGTTATCAAATTGAAAAAACAGACTATGATGCTGATGACCAAGATACGCCGGTCATCAAAGTCGATACACTTGGCTGTGCCGATATGCCATTGCTGAAGAAACAATATTCAATGGATGGCAAGGAAGTAATCAAACCACCATCGGAATGGTCAAAATTTTGGACGCTTGTTGGACGCAGTCAAGTTTATTACTACCGTGATTGGGTATGTACTTGTTGATAACGTAGCATCGAATGGAAATTGAATTGTAATGATTTGTTATGTATTGCAGACGGTTACCCACCTGAAATTAGTACTTCATATTTTATGTGCTACACTTATCGGACTTTTGTATGGTGACTCCGGTTCAAATGCCAGCAAATCCATTGAGAACGTTGGTTTTCTTTTGATTGGCGTCGCATATCTATGGTATACAACCGTTATGCCGGGCGTTTTGAAATGTAAGCACCTTTTTCTGCTTCGATTTCCATGAAAATAGACATTTTATTTGATCATTTCTATTTAGTTCCCACGGAATTGGAAATTGTGCGGAAGGAAACATTCAACAATTGGTACAAAGTTCGAACATATTTTCTCGCTAATACACTCACCACCACGCCAATTCATGTAAGACACCCTTTTGATAATCTCTATCTGTCTCCTTAACCCATTTTTCACACCAAATGATAAATAATTTTTCATTAATCTCTTTTTTTGTCGGAAACAGATTGTGTTTGCCACCATCTACTCCACCATCATATTTTATTTGACAGATCAACCATGGGAATTGAACCGATATACACGATTTACGCTGGTCTACGTACTACTTACAATTGTTGCTGATGCTCTGGGCTTATTGTTGGGTGCGATTGCCAATCCAATTGTAAGTGTATTTCAACTATTTTATGGACTTTTTTCAGTATGGCCAACCCACGTTTTGTATATACGTGTTTTACTTCCGACAAAAAATAAAAATTTTGTTTAATGTGAATGCCATATGGCATACGCAGTATTGCAAAAACTAAACCATGTATGTGCATAATCGATCCCGCAAGCGGAAAGTAATATTTCCTCATAATCAATCCTTATAAGGATATTAATTTAAAATTCAAGCACAGAAATATGTCAAATATTTCAACGAATCGGAAATAAAATCCTACATTGTTGTGAATCACAACTTGAAATGTACTTATTTCAAAAACTGACGGTTTTGTTTTTTTCGATGATCAGTATCACTTTATTTCGATTTTTAGATAAGCAACTAAAGTTATTTGGTTTACTTCATACAAAATCTGTTTAAAGGAAAAAGTTTGAAAACTATGCGTTTAGTATTCACTCTAAAAACTTTTCTTTATGCCTCAAAGAATGCATTCAGGAATAGAATCCACAAAATCGAAATTTTTTAAATTCTCAATCTATTTTTTACATTCTCAATCTGTTTTTATTTGAAAGCGGCATTATGATGCAAAAAATGTTTTTTTATTGTTATTTTGGCAAAATTTAAACCATATAAAACTCTCTTTATTTCCAGAATGGTACATTTTGGGCGGCAATTATCACAGCGTTTAAATTGGCATTTTGTGGATTTTTGGCACTATGGTCCCATATGATTCCAGCGATGAAAGTATTCACGTATGTGTCAACACATGCCTATGGCTTAGAAGCGCTTGTTTTGTCAGTGTACGATCATAACCGTGAAGATATTTCCTGCCCCGAAGACATACTGTATTGTCATTACAAGTAAGTTGGTGATTTGTCAATATTTGATTATAGTTTCCATCTTCAATGACATTTAAATTATTTATTCGCAGAAATCCAAAAATGATAATACGTGAGCTCGGAATGAATGCATCCAACTACGAGATGGACGTATCAATGATATTCGTGCATTTGGTTCTATTCAAGGTTTTGGCATATTTCATGCTAAAACGACGATTGAAGAACATTTAAATTGTGATGCTATCATTTACCAATAGATTTAAGCGTATTTAAAATCAAAATTCATCAGAGTCGCAAAGCATTTGAATGTGTGTCACTCGTCGCAGTCTATTAGTTACCATTCATCAAAAATCAAATCAATGAATTTAATTTAAATACCGACCCGTTCAATAGTGATATTATTATTATTGTTGATAATAATAATCGGTGTCCAGTTTTAATGTTATAAGCATAGCTAGTTTTTGGCGAGACATATTTTTTCACACCGCATGACAAATTGTTAAAAATTTCTAACTATAAATAAAGCATAGATTTAGCATGGTATTATGTCAAGGTGAATTAGAATTAAAGTAATTGTAAATATTTGACAGAGACATGAAAGGACAGGACGAAAAAACAACAAATAAAGATCAGTTTTGATTTTACGATTTTTCTGGTTTTTTTTTTCTTTTCTTTATTAAATGAATGGTCTAAAATTTCGTTTGAATTTTTTCATTTTGAAAACGTTTTCATCGCTTTTCTTCCTGCATATTTAATCGATTTGAATATACCAGCGGTGGGAATATTTTTCATTGATTGGCCGACACTGTTTTCCCAATTGATATTAACAAGGGCGGTATGTAATTCCTTTGGTATGTCGGGCAAAGCTTCTACAGAACCATTGGTCATTTTCAGAATATCGAGAACACGCTCTGGAAGTGCTTGTAAATGTTTTAAAGTTGTTTCTCTTGATTTACATTGTTGAATTTTAGCATTGCTTGTTTTCGATAGATCAGGCACATGTACACAATCTGATAATGCTCTTAGCTGCCGTTTATACAATTTGAGAAAATCTTCTAATTGAGCATCAACAATGTTGTATATTTTGTCCTTTCTCTCGCCGAAATACATACGAAAATCACCGGTATAACTGATTTTGGCGATTGCATGGAACAATTGAAAGTAGCTAAATTCCTGTGGTAATTGTAAAAGTGCTGTGTGCAAAGCATTTTCAAAATTCTTAGCTAAATTCTCTATTAATTCCGGATCGTTTGGCTGGATAAGTGTTTCGACTGGCTTCTGTAGTCTGCCAGCAACATACAGATGATTCCAATGCCACAAGTCGTCTTTCAAGTCTTGCATACGAATAACACCATATTTGATTGTGGTATGACGGTCAAGTTGTATCAATGTATTACAATACACACCAGCCGCATACTCTTGATATTCTCCAATCAATTTTGAGCCTAGAAATCGCATCCATGAATAGTCGTGCGGATTTCTTTCCAAATTTTCTTTATGCCATTTTGTTGCATCGTCTACGGCCACAATCAAATCAATCATTGCATTCTTTTGCGCTTTTTCATCGTAACCCACTTGCCTTTTCACACCGGATCCATAAGCAAAACAGTATTGAATTTTGGGAAATCTCGGTAGAATTCTTTGTGTCAACGAATTTGATAACATTGTTGTTAATTCGGTTTAGAATGTCGCAGATGGTATAGATTCAAGACATATAAAGCATTTCAATATTGGACGAACCTACAATTCAAAAATAAACCAGTTAAAACCAATGCACAGTTTTTATATTTAATTTTGATATTATATTCAAACTTACCCACAATATTCATGAATGAAAATAAACTTAACCTTAGTTCGTGTATTATTTACTCTCGGCAATTTGACACATTGATTTAACTGTCAGTGGTGCCAAAGTTGTGTGAATGTGTGGAGGGGGGACATACGTATCAAACTTTTACAGCTTTTGAATGGTTATTGCTTCAACCCAACGACAGATGGCGTTTATTTCATTCTGGTGTCAGTAGAAAAAAAACTGCAATATTCCTGATTCAGATGCGATTATAAATTAGACTGGAATTTATGTTAAAATCGACTAACATCAATTTCAAATTGTGTTTATAATAGGGTGTCTGTATAATAAAAAAAAATTCATGTGACTAAAAAGTGTACTCACGTGATTGAAAAGTGATTTGAACTAAAAATAATTAACAAACTCAATTTTTTTTTTAAATATATTTATTTCTTTTTAGCAAATTGAATTTTACAATTTTCCGGATGATATGTGATGTGAAATTAGCAATAATCTTTTTATTTTATATTTGAATTGAACAGAAGTGGAATATTTGTGAAAATGCTTGTCGCCTCTCAGCTTGTTTCGATAAAGTCATGTGTAGGCTTTTTCATGAATATTTTTTGCAAAATCAATTTCATCGAACTTTTGGTCTTTGCCGTTTTGAGAGTCTCCAAGATACCTTGATACCCTTTTGCGAATAGAGATTTATCATTTGTTTGAAGGTAGAATATACCTTTTCCGCTGTAAAAATGACAACACAAATTAAGTTGTTATGCGAACCAAATTGACGAAATTTATACAAACTTTTTATTGCCCGGTTCGCCGCCCATTTCTTTAACCTCATTTACCACCGAACAGTTGCCTTTTTGTAAATTTTCAAGTGAATCACATTCAAGGGCCAAAAATTGTGGCATAACATTAGCAATACTTTCAATATAATATTCATATGCTCTGCCATGAGCACACGGTCCTAATATATCCATTCCACAACCTGATTTTGAATGAAAAAATCTATTAATAAACTATAGAATAAAATAGGTTTCCGAAATAAATAAATTGAATTCAATTTACCAGGTTGAGACCGGCCGCCATTCGGATAAAAGTTTGTAGCACCAATTGGCCAAGTGACTGCCAATGTTCCAGAACAGGTATAAATGACTTCAACATATGAAGCATCAGTGGCGTCAAGTCGATTTTCGACTTCCTCAAATTTGAAAAAAAATCGTGCCGGATCCAGTCCTACTATCTTTCCCACCTTTCCATTTGTAATTTTTTTTCCAGCTATGCCTGAAATGTGTGCGCCCAAACTATGTCCAACGATAGTCAAGTCTTGAATTTTCAGCCTTGCTTCTTTTGACATAAAATCAACAAATCGTGCGACATGTTCACCCATTTCATTGACACGATAACGAGCACAGCGATAATTCCAGATATCTGACCCCTTTTGCCAGTTGACCGCAATGAAATTGACCTTATGCTTGCCTCTAACAAGATATGCATCAGCAAATCGTGGTGTTAATAGTCCTTCTGAACACCATCCATGAATCAAGATTCTTGTTGGATTTCGCCAATCAAAATGCGATGTTTTCACCGTCGTGTCATTGTTTAATTCCAAAATTTGTGGTTCGGTTGGATTTTTTTGTGTAAATAACTGAAAAATCACATCATTTTCCACCGAGAAAAATGAACACGCGTCTTTTTCAACATTTTCATCATCAACTCGATAGACGATACGACATGGATTCGTAAAATACGTAAAATTATCGTCTACTGGTGTAGATGGTGGTGGTATTGGCACTTGCAATTCGGCCCAACTTGAATCGGCTATCACATAATGTGCTGAATAAATTAAAATATAAATTAATAACATTTACTGTCTATTTCATTCGAATTTAACTTACCAAGGGTTATTAAGGCAAAAACGAATACGATTGACATTTTAATTAATCCAATAACAAAGAAACAATTGATCAAGTCGATATTTATATGCTCGTTTATTTCGAATTATCAATATATTTT